TATAGGTAATGGTTATGGGCTATTCCAGTGAATGCACAGAGAGAATTTAATTTCTGTGAGCAGTGCCATTGACAACAGTGGGACTATTTCCACGTGTAAAGTTAGCCTGGAGCTTAAGTGTGGGCAAGACTGAGTTGTGGGAAAGATTGAATGTATTTCACCTCTTGCAAAAAGGCTCTCAGGTAACAGAAATGTGAAGGTTCCACATAGACCTTCTGTTCTGGAAGATCAGTTACGGATTGTCTTGAAAAGTGGGTTTGGAATCTCCATATAAGCCAACATTGTGAAGCAAAAGAACTGGATATGTAAGTTGTTAAGGTAATGCATTCTCTTATAGTTTTGAAAATCTTTCATCTAAGGCTTTCAAAGCCCTTACTGTTTAAGTGAGTGTCACTCTTTTAGAAAGGTACTGTTAAGTATCATCACATGGAGCAACAAGGAGATTATGAATCTCAAGGTCAGGTATCATGTGATGAAATAATGAGCGTTTGCAATTCCTAATGCTCTTCTTAACAATGAGGAATTATCTGTCCTAATACTGACTATTGGCTGTAGGCCACAGGTCAGTCTCTGTCTGTGGCCATTGTATAGAAACTTCATTGGCCAGTTTTTCCTGCTGCCTGGAAGAATGAGGAGGGTGTGGCTATTCGTAGAGAATATAAGGCAGCACTGGGGAAAAAGGAGATACTGCCTGCTGATAACTGGACCTGGGTCTTTGCAAAGAGAAGCTCTTCAGGAGATTTGGAACAGGACACTAGTTTGGTCTTCTGTGGACATGAATAAGTTTCACTTCTAAGCACTTTACACTACTGTACCTGAATTTTCCTTCAGAAGACCACATTGCGTAATCTCTCAGGTTTACAAATCAGTGATGAAGAATTTTAAATCCTAATAAAATGCTGAGAAGTTTCCAAAATGTGAGAAAACATGAAGGCATTCATTGCTGTGATGGAGAGAGGCAGTTTATTGCTGTGTTTCTGAAGGAGAAATGAGTTGCCCAAAGACTATACTAAGCATGGTATAAAAACAATGAAGAATTAAAGGGAACCTACCTCGGGTGCTCCTTATGGGTCATCTTTTCCTTACATTCCAGTAAGATCCACAGGAGCTTAGACCGGAGTATCCTGGAGGCAGTCTCACTCTGCCCATGGCCTGAAGGCTTCTAGGACTGGCTTTCACCACATATCTAAGGGAAGGAAATCCGAAGAATCCCTCTGCCAAAAGAAAAAAACAGGAGTAATTTTTCCCTTTAAAATCCACGAGGGGCTCCATGGTGGGGAGACACTAGCTTTTGCAAACATGTTTGTAAAGCCTCTCAGGCCTTGCCTAGAGGACTTAGTTGGGTTAGCTGAATCAGCAAGCCTTCTTTGCGTTGATGCAAGCTGCGGTGAAACAAAGCATTTTTGCCTGGGTTACGTGCTGTCAGCCCCTGAGCACAGTCCCCTGCAACAGCATACCGATTGTTTTCCGCTTCCGCACTTGTGTCAGAGGCGCGTTGCTCTGAGGGATGGAGACCTTTCATTGTGGAGAACATCTGCTCTGCTAGCGGATCATTGATGCACAGACCTGGCTTCTGCGTGAGAGGGGCAGGAGATGCTGCAGAGAGCCCAGGCTGGCCGTGCCCAGCCCAGCTGTCTGCCCATCCTCTGGGGCAGGCTGTGTCTGCCGGCTTCGAGCAGTGCCCACAGCTGACTCTGGTACTCTCCTCTAAGCAAAGCGCTCTGGGAGTGCCTGGAGTTGTTCAGCCTGGACAAGACCTTATTGTGGTTTTCCAGTATCCGAAGGGGCTACATGAAAGCTGGGGAGGGGCTGTTTACAAGGGTGTAGGATGAGGGGTGGCAGTTTTAAGCTGAAAGAGGGTAGAGTTAGGTGGACATTAGGAAGTAATTCCTCAGTGTGAGGGCGGTGAAACACTGGCACAGGTTGCCCAGAGGAGCTGTGGCTGCCCCCTCCCTGGCAGTGCTCAAGGCCAGGTTGGATGGGGCTCTGAGCAGCCTGATGTAGAGGGAGGTGTCCCGGCCCATGCAGGGGGGTTGGAACTAGATGATCTTTAAGGTCCCTTCCAACCCAAACCATTCTGCGATTCTATGAATCTCCCTGTCCCACGTGCCACTAGGTGGCACTTTAGGGACACGCCAGTCACTCAGTTTCCATCGTTCTATTCATGAAGCATGAGCTGCACCACTAGAACTATTTATTTATTTTTTTTTTCATTTTTCTTTTTTTTTGGTGAAATGTAAGCGTTTAGCTGCCTGCTCCAGCCAGCCCCAGCCCCGCCGGCTTCTGAGCTTTGCCACCCTCAGATCCTGGCGTGGGGAGGAGCAGCCAGCCCAGTGGCCCAACCTCAGACAGTGGCTGCTACAGCTGTTCGGCTGACAGCCACATCACAGCACTCTGCTAGGAAAAAATGTGTCCTGCATCCGTAGGAGCTGAGATATCAAACTGTTGGAAATGTTAAAATCTTGCACTTTTTTTGACATGAGCGCTGCAATTTATATTTGTTTCTACCAGAATAAAAAGTTTACCTTTCCCCCCTCCCTTTTCAGTTCCCTTCAGTTTGAAGCAATATTTTCCTGCAATGAGATAATTTAAAAAAAAAAAAAAAAGCCTTTTATCATACTGTGATTTCAATTTTCCTGGTTGTTTGCAATTGGCATTGTAGGCTACTAGTCTATTCTAGTCTATTTAGTTACTTGTACACTGTTTGAATACATTGGTTCACTGCTGCATTTTATCTGTACATAAATAACAGGCAGTTGGTCTCCTTTCTTTTTCATTCTGTGAAGCAAGTTCCTGCATTCTTGCTTTTGACACAAGGTTTAATGTAGACTCCAACAAGAGTCTAGACAGCACAAGAAGCTGTCTGCCTGGTCAGGTGAGGGGGTATCTACTGCTCCCTGTCCAAGAAAGGTCATTAAGAGCTGGCTCTCCTGTGCTTCTGTCATTTCTCTCTTGTGCAGCAAAGCTGTAGTTTATAGTGTACATATTACATGGTGCTTTGAAAGTCTGTGTTTCCCCTTACTGTCCCTAAATGAAGCCAAAGTGATGCCATTTGGGCTGAAATTTATCATGTGGTTCTGTTAGGTATTTGAGCTTGGGTCTCCCCAAGTAGTTCATGAAAGCCTCATGGACATTGCATGGCTACTGTTACTAGTGCTTAGTGCCTGCATTTCTTTCAAATGTATAAAAAAAAGTGTTTGTAGAAATTGGGGAGGTTGTGGGCTATTCAGCTTGCTGATAAAAAAATGGTCTGTTGCATTAAATGGACTTTCAAAGGCCTTTGATTTTTGTAGACAGAAAAAAGGCTGCATTTTAAAATTTTGTGCTCTTATTTGTACCAGAAATCTACAGTTATAGACTAAGCACATCAACCCATTAAAAGCTTTCCAGAATTAAAATGTTAGCATCAAATACTTACTGAAATCCAAATATTTAAGATATTAGTATTAAAATAATACAAGAAAACTACAGGGTGGGTTTGTTTTGATCGTTTGGGCTATTTTAAACCATCAGTAATACTGCAGAAGTTACACATTTAGAAGAGGGGGGAGAGAAATCTTGTCAGCCAAAACACCTTTTGCTCCTCTGCTTAGGAATTTCATGTGCCTTTAAAAAAATCTCAAATGTTCCTCCTCTGTGCTTATTTGACACTGTATGGTTAAAGGAACCTTGCAGAACCACTTTTCCCCTGCATCTTTCTGTACAGCTCTTTGTGTTTGTGTATTACAGAAGAAATGGAAGTGGTCTGAAAAACTCCCTCCTTTTTAAATGTGCCAAATTCTATGCATTTTGTCATTTTTGTTGAACTTGCAGTTAAGCACTGGGAAACTTGTGACTGCTACAGATCTTGATGGGCTTAGGCAGAAACCTCTTGGCAGCAGTGGATTAGGTTCTTCAGGTGTAACAGGTTATTATTGTGGCTAAAATCCCAGCCCCTTAAAGTTTGATGTTTGCCTTGAACTTGGTTTTAAATGCAAGCTTTCACCTGTGTAGAAACGAGCCTTTTTTGAAGAATGAGCAGGATGGCAGGTTGCCTCTCCTGCCTGAGGGGTGTTGTCAGCATGGCTCCAACTTGGCAGAAGTTAGGAAAGAGAAGAAGAGGCTGTCTGCCAGTGCCAAGTGCCCTCAGCTTCCCGCTCCTGCCTACTTTCCCCATCTTGGAGCCAGCCTATTCCTCCCAGACAGAAAACAGCCACAGCATGTTTATACCATGTTTGCTGCAGCTTGCCTGGGGACAGGCAGATCCAAATCCTGGTGCCCTTCCTGAGCTGATGTGCCCTGTCCTGGTGGAACAACTTGAAAGATGCTGGGAGGTTTCAGGAGAGGTGAAGCAATGGATTAACCCTCTGCTGCTTGGTCTCACATGCTGGGGGGAGGGTGTTTTGATTTGCAGAAGTGTAGACCTGTGTTGTGTAGTGAGCAGCTCTGTTTCTGTTTGAAATGTGAGGAGGGAAGAAGATTTATTTGGCTTCTTTTATGACTGTGTTTTTAGTAACTTTGCTGGAATTTTTTGTATAATTCAGGCTTTCACCCTCCAGCTTTGCAAACTTCAAAGACAGAGGCTTACTCCAATGAATTTTCATCAGTTTCAGGAGATGATAAGGTGACAGGGTGCAACCAAGATCTCTCTAGCTTTTATCCACTCCACTCCACTCTCCACCCCCCCTTACTCCTTTTCTGAGTATTTAGGCTTTAGAGATAACCCTAGAAGAAACTGTGGGTACTAGGTCATTTACATTTGGAGACATGGTTCCTAATGGTTCACAGAAAACCTTTGTCTTGTTTTCCTTACACAATAAAATACAAGAAAACAGTTTCATTAAAAATCTGCAGAGAACATATGTTGTCCAGTCAGCTGTCACCCTAGACCTCCATTTCCCCTACTGTTGAATTGTTAAAGTAACTTTTTATTTTGTGTATAATGTTTCCTTTCATTGACTTTACTGTATGTGACTGTTCTTTGCTTTGTGGGTGTAGCAGTGACTGATTTGTTGTTGCAGACAGAGCCAGTATCTGAGGTTGAATTACATCCTCAAATGAATAGACCCCCATCACAGGCAGAAGAAAGCAGTTCAGCAAAAAAGGTGAGACCTGCTACCATTGTGGAATTATTTGCCTTCATCAACAAATGTGGTTGTTTTCAGTTTTGAAGCAATTAAGTGGAGGGTTAGGGTTACGTTTTTACACGTTTACCTTCTCTGGAGGTCAGGACACTATAAAGAACTGGGATCACCTGTGACATCAGCTCAGATAAATCATTAAGGGAGCTCTAAGTACATAATCATCAATGCACGTGCTTTAGGAGAGGCAGCTTTCCATTTGTTTTAAATCAATAGGGGCTTGTAGAGCCTTAGGAGAGACAAAAAGGAGTTTGATTGTACTTGACCCGTTTTACTGTAATTCTTCCAAAGTGTGACACACTTCTTGCTTCCAGTTATTGAGGACTGGACTTTGATATAAACACACCTGTTTGCTAGAGGTTGGAAGCTGCTACTAAATGTTTATAGACTGGAAGAGATTTGCTCAAGATGTGCAGTTGCTAATATGTTCTTGTATGAACATACTGTTTGAATAAACACTGAAATGGCAATGGCACTCTTCACAAGGCCTTACTTAGGGATAGATTTGCCTTAGCAATGGCTGTTGAGCCTTTCCCCACTCCTGGCCATGCTCCCACCTCCTCTTTCCACCAACCTCAGCCAGCAGAGGTTTTTGATAGAAGGCAAATGCAGATCCTTCCTGCTTTGGCCCCTCCTGCAGCCAGGGAGCACCTACAAGACCATTGGTCAGCCCAGCCACGAGCTGAGGTGCAGTCCCTAGTGCCTACCTTGCCCAGGAAGCATCATCACACTTCTTGCCCTAATGGAGGGCACCAACAAATGTCCAGTGTAATTTCTTACATGAGATAGGGCTTTCAGAACAGTGTCCTTGCTCCACTGTGCTCACCGCAGCCTTGCTTCCTCCTTGCTTGGCTTTGCAGCTCTGCGGGGGAAATTACTTCATGATGGTCCACCTACTTCATCCTCATCCCACCTGGCTCCCTAAAATACAGGGAAGCCCAGGCCACGGGGTGTGGGAAGCAGGCTGCTGGTGCAGTGCTGACCCACCTTCCAAGGCCTCGTGCAACCGCTGCCAGCCCCAGAGCTCCTGCGGAGGGCTTTGCTTTGGGGTATTGGATCGTTTCTTCCAGTGTTGTGTTCAAAATGGAAGAGGGATTTATCCTATGGATTTGGTAGGTTTTTGGCAGTTCAGGGTTGGCTGGGATGGTGCCTTTGGCATCCCACCAGTTTATGGCTGCAGAAGGCATACGCGGGTTCCTCACTCGCCGGACATGGTGTGTTCGCAGGGAGTTGTGCATATGCATAGAGTTTCAGAGCATGGTGTGATCTGAGGTCTCTGCAGTGCTGATGGGTTGACATCCTGATCAAAAGATCTCGGAGTGTTTTTAGAACTTTTTTCTTTTTTGTCAGTAATGGCAGAACTCTTTTTTTTTTTTTTTAATATTGAAAACCCTTGTTTCCTTGTAACTTGAATTCCTCCAGTAGTGGTAATACCTCTAATACCAGTTATTGATGGTCTTATGTTGGTTTCATTCTTTGTCACAGTTGTTTCTTCTGGTGAGTCAGGCTGCCTTCTGCAGTGTTACTTGTTTTTTTTCTTATGGTTGCTGGGTCATTAAATGCTTTCTCATTTAATTTTTTTTCCTTTTGATTAACATTTGGCCAAAACATAGTAAGGAAGATAGTCTGACCCAGTAAAATGTGCATAGTACAAGGGATAATAAAAATTTGGGCTCTGGTCTTGACTGGGACCCTAAATGTGTAACCTATGTCAAGTTGCTTCATCTTTTTGGGACTCAGCTCTCTCATTCATGAAATGGAGAAGTAATAGTTATATTCCTTGTAAAAAGAAAAATCTAGTAATAAAATACACTGAGAAGGATATATTCATGTTTGAGGTTTAAAACATCTTTAAGTCATTAAAACTACTTATCTTTGCAGAAGAAAGGATGTTTTAGTTTAAAATAATTAAAACACTTACCATTAAAGGCATAAAAATCCAAGACTTTTTGTTTTCACCTTCAAACCAGACTTATCTCTCTAATGGAGAAGTAACTGTCCTTCTACACTTGTAATGCCTTAGTTTTGCATGGGTAATTTTAGACATGTCTTTCTAAGCTATTTTCAGTGTTGTTTCATGTAAGGAAGGAGGGGAGGAGAAGGAAGAGACTCCATGCCCAGATGGGTGAGGCAGTAATTTGGGACACAAGTAATTGATTATTGATTTTTACCAACTGCGCATAATTAAAAATAAATCTTGTTTTGGTTCTCTTGCTTTTGGGTCAACTGGGGTCAACTAGTATTTGTATTTATACCCTTCCCTTTGCTCCCCCAAAGGCACACAGAGCTATACAATCCAGTTCTGAAGAGCCTGTCATCCAGGTTAACAAAACAGCAATGTAATAATTTCATTTGTTATGGGGTTGCAGGAGTTATTGTTCCTTTTTTCAAAGTTAGAAACCTGAGAGGCTATTACAAAAGTTGAATTAAGCTCTGTACCTTTTTAAATTATGAAACCTTAGGCCAGCTGTCAGCAATTTCAGTGTCACAAGTATTCCCCAGCCTAATGATGGGAGACACATGGCCTAACTTAATGTTGCTGTGTCTGTTTCTTGCAGGAGGTTGTTCTCGCTCAGCCGCCCTCCAAACCCGCCCGCAGGAAGCTCCGGACTGAGACACAGGGGCTGGAGACCCCTGAGCATTCTCCCACTATAAGTGTGACTTCTTCCTTGCCAGTAGTCAAGCCTCACCTCCCAGTTCAAAAGTAAAAACTCATACAAAGTGCACCAAACTGCACCATGAGATCTGATGTTGGCAGGGTTTGCTCTTTGCATCGTTTTGTGCTTCATAGTTAGGGTTTTTAGAATGCTTCACAAGATACAGGTCTCTGAAATGTACATATGTCTTCTCAAATGCAGCCTAAGTCTGTAATGACTGTTTAATTTGACAGTAATTGATGGATAGTCTCTTCAAAGGTCTCCTACCTCTGTATCTGGTAGATGTGTCTGAAGAGCAAACCTAGCTGTTTAACCAGCATTTCTAACACGACTACTTTCAGCTTTGTGGGTCTATTTTTTTGCCTTGCACATATCTTCTGGAATTTTGCTCAATCATGTGGACAGACATGGTCAGTTCCCAGGGAACTGAGTCATGAAATGCTTGGTGTTGGTCATATCCTTGTGATATTTCTTCATCTCAAGGCAGGTTAGAAATGAGCTCTCCAGTGGTATGAACAGAGACATAGACCACTTGTGATAATCCAGTAATTGCCAAACCCCATTATGTTTTACTTAGTCTCATAAATGTAGCTGTTAAAGGAATCTGTCAGCAACAAAGACTTAGAGAGATTTCACTGTATATTTATTTAATAGCAATGGAGAAGGGACTGTACAAATGGTAAGCAAAGGCACTTGGAGCCTTGTTGGGTCTATACATCTCCCTGAACTGAAACAGTGTGCAAACATTATATTCTGCCTTCACCTGAAGCCTTGCAAAGACTTCTGATTCAGTCTGAAACGAAACCAAGCTGCCCAAATCAGTTCAGCAGTTCTTGGCAAACTGTCTGTCAGCAGACTAAATCTGTGCTGTGTAATTAGCATAAGTAATAAGGCTCCTAGGCTGCCCTTAAAGTGCTATTTTGTGCTTTGGGAGTGCGTATTCCGTAGTGATTCAAAGAAAGAAAACCGCATTTTTTAGCATCTCAGCTTAATCCTGTCTTGTCTGTGTTTTTCCTAACATGTTTAAATGACCACAGAGGTATATCTCCCTGTGTGTGTTGTTTTTTTTTTCCTATCATTATTACTTCATAGCCTGTGGAGAGTAGTTGGAAGCAAAATAATGAAGCAGAAAACTGACAGCTCACTGGAAGATAACTACACAAAGAGCCCGCCAGTGCTGTGAAACAGATCCTGTTGCAGAGATCAGGGCCATCAGCTCTGTTAAGAGAAGAGAGCTGATGGGGACTGTGTGCCACTGTGGGCCTTATTTAAAATGGGCATCTGTTTTAGATCAAATTTGTGATTAAAGAGCTCTTGATGCTTCTTGTAAAACTTTGCAATAATCTATTTGGAAAAGGCCTTGGATGTTCAGTCAGTACTTTCTGTATTTTCTTTCCTTTTCACTGTTATTTCCTGTTTCTCAGAATAGTTTGGTCCTTATGTATAGATCTGTCTCATTTTCTATCTCTCTGCCTAACTGTAATCTTCCAAATCAGTTACCATCAGTGAAAGAGTAATAATAATAATAGGAGAGAAATCTTTTATTTAAGCAGTAAAAGAGATGAGGGAAGTTCAGAAGCCATCTATTTGTTGCTGCTTGTGACATCAGGTGGTTTTACTGGAAAGGACTGCTTTGAATGAAAGGTTAATTTTTGAAGTAAAGAAATATCAAAATTAGAAGTTCCCCGAAAAATCTAGAGTATTTTCATGCAGATGTCCCTTTTTTCCTCTTAGATTGAGTTTTACATTTTCTGTTAACCACTTCTGAAACTTTAAATTCTACAAGTGGCTGAAAACAGCTAAAGCAGAGATGCTGCAATAAGCAGAGATGCTGCAATAAGCAGAGCTATGCAAAGATAATTCTTAAAATTAATCAGAATGCAGTGATTTTGAAATAATTGAGGCAGCTTAAAATATTTCTGTCATTCAGGTTAATATATGTGACCATTTTACTTCCAAATAATCTACCTGATTCAGCAGTTTCATTTCAGTGTTACATTTCCCTTCTCCTAAATGTGTAGTTTGTACCTTGTCTTTGAAGTGTAATCCACTGTGTATAAAGTACAGATGTGCAAAATGCATGGCTGGTCTTCTGACATCAGCCACTGTTGAGACTCCTTATTGAAATGTTCTGTATTTATCTGTCTGGCAGACAGTCTTCCAAGCAGAAAAGGGCTATTCAGACTGCCATACGAAAAAACAAAGAAGCCAATGCTGTGCTTGCCAGGTTGAACAGTGAGCTCCAGCAGCAGCTGAAGGTAAGGAATGCATTGAAAATGGATGACAGAGTTCCTTGTCATTAGTTACATGTCGCCTCCAGCACAGGACCAGGGAGGTGATCCTGCCCCTCTACTCGACCTTGGTGAGGCTGCACCTCAATCACTGTGTGCAGATTGGGGCACTGCAGTATAGGAAGGCGTTGAGGTGCTGGAGAGGGTACAGAGAAGGGCAACGAGGCTGATTAGGGGTCTGGAAAACAGGTCTTATGAGGAGAGGCTGAGGGAGCTGGGGCTGTTCAGCCTGGAGAAGAGGCTGAGGGGAGACCTCGTTGCTCATTGCTCTCTACAGCTACCTGAGAGGAGGTTGTAGTGAGGTGGGTGTTGGCCTCTTCTCCCTAGTGACTGGTGATAGGACAAGAGAAAATGGGGTCAAGTTGCGCCAGAGGAGGTTCAGATTGGATATTAGGAAAAGATTCTTCACAGGAAGAGTGGTGAGGCATTGGAACAGGCTGTCCAGGGAGGTGGTGGAGGCAACGTCCTTGGAGGTGTTAACAGCACAGGTGGGTGTGGTGTTTCAGAAAGTGCTTTAGTGGTTGGGGGTTGTAGGGCAGACAGTTGGAATTGATGATCTTGAATGTCTTTTCCAACCTTGATGTTTCTATGATACTGTGAATCATGTTTATCTTGTCACATGAAACCTACTGCATTATTTCCTGCTTTCTGGCAGGGAATAACTATACTGTATGTGTGGTTAGGATTAGGCTTTCTGGGAAAAGATACAACCTATGGGCCTGCAGCTCCACTGGCAGTTAGAAAAAGTCTAAAGGATGAACTTTGTCTGAAAAGTTTGGATAATGTAATGGTGTCACCCATTGCAGAAGAGCAACTCAGCTGTAACTTTGTCTTCTGATCAGTTGTGCTACATAACTGTCTCCTAAAGTCAGGCATTTGGTATGCATGGAGTGGCTAAAAACTTGGTTACATGAACATCTAACACTAAATTTTAATGTCTGCTGACTTGTCTTTTAGCATGCTCTCAAGGGGCTGTTTTGTTATAAATATCAGTTCTGGTTTTTCTGTTTTCTCAGTCTGAAGGTAGTACAGACTTTACTTTTTCATCTGCTGCAGCTTTTTCTCCCCTCCATATTATGAACACACTTGTCTGGAAACAGTTTCACCTTTTCTTCAGTCAAGGTGAAAGGTTGATTCCATGGTCATCTTTGCTTTCGCATAATTTCTTAACTAGTTTTCAAGGGTCTCACAAGTGTGGATGCTCTGTACTGAAGTGGTAGCGAAATACAGGACAGTGGTTGAAATAAGCATGGAGATGAAATCTTTTAATGACAGCACATTGCCATCATTCCTTGGCTCAGGTCTTACCTGCTTCCATGCACTATCTCTAGCATGCTTAAATTCCTCAGCTTTCACAGAACAAGCCAGTGCTGTTATCTGTATTTTACAGTAGGGTGAAGGGAGCACCTAAAGGCAGAGAGATTTGCCTGAATTCATTCAAGAGCAGAAAGCTGTACTTGTCCTCCAAGTCATATTGCTGCCTGGAAACTTTCTGATGGAGCAGGACTGTGATGTTTTCATGGACACCAGAAGACTTGATGGGTGCCCCTGAGGCACAGTTTTCAACAAGGTGTGCGGAGTGTTCAGGCACAGTCCTGGGCTGGGCTCTGAGCCTGCTCAAATGGGCTACCAAAGCCTGAAGGAATCACATGTCAGCCCAGCTCCCACGCTGGCCAGGGAGTCCTTTAGTGGGAGATCAGTGAGAGGCGGGTGACACTCAGCACAGGGGCAGCCTCAAGACAAGGAGAGGCTTTCCCAAAATCACTGATCCCCACTGATCTTCTTGATGCAACTGCCACAGAGGTAGATTGCAAAGTCTCAGTTGTCTTAGAAGGGCTAATTCATTTTCAGAATGAAAGAAGTTGTTTATGTAAACAAAAAATTCTAAAAGAACCCAAAGAAGTAGTTTTGATGGAAGTGTGATTTCAAAATGACATGACTTTCTGGAGAAGAGAAGGTTCTGGGGAGACATAGCAGCCTTCTGATGCCTGAAGGGGGTCTACAGGGAAGCTGAAAAGGTACTTTTTGCAAGGGCTTATAGGATGAGGGGGAACAGTTTTAAGCTTAAAAGGGGTAGATTTAGATGAGATGTTAGGAAGAAATTCTTCAGTGTGAGGGTGGTGAGACACTGACACAGGGTACCCAGGGAAGTTGGGGCTGCCCCCACCCTGGAAGTGTTCAAGGGCAGATTGGATGGGCCTTGGAGCAACCTGCTCTAGTGGGAGGTGCCCCTGCCCATGCAGGGGGATTGGAACTAGATGATCTTTAAGGTCCCATCCAACCCGAACTGTTCTGTGATTCTTTGGCAGAAATGGCCAGTTGTAGCCAGCAATGCTGTAGGGAGGAGGCAGCAGGCAGCTGTTCAGGGTGGCTTTGTGGCATTGGTTCGGTGTTTTGAGACCGCAAACAGTGTTACTTAAACAACAGAACCTTGAGTCTCCAGGTTTGCCAGGCAGTTTGCCAGGCTGCTCTTCACCAGAGCAGGGTAGTGCATGTGAGCATCTGAAAAGTTACAGCACATTCCTCTCCCTCCTGCAGGAGGTTCACAAGGAACGAATTGCCTTGGAAACGCAGCTGGAGCAGCTACGTCCCGTCACCGTCTTGTGACATCCTCCACCAGCTGTGCAGCAGCGAGAGCAGAGCACACGTCCCGACAGCCTTGCAAGGAGAGGGGCAGGCATGGCTGGGCAGGGCTTTCACCGAGGTGGTGGTGGCAGGAAGGACCAGCTTGTCTGGTCTCCCTTCACCCCGCTGCTTTCATTTGTAGGTGAAGAAGGTACAGGAAACAAATGTCTGACTGCTGGATCTTTCTGAGCAGAGGGCTGCTTTGCCTTCTTTCCTCCCTCTTCCCAGCCTAACGTGTAAATGCAGTTTATCACTGAAAGGAGTAACCTGAGAGTATTTTATTTGTGTAAAGAATTCCTGATTTATACACGTTCTGGCAGCACCTCCTGTCCCTATCATTATGAGGTACAGCATTCCTGAATTCATGCTTACATTTAAACCTCGTCCTCTGAGATGAGCTTCCGGATGTTACTGAATCCTGTAGGATTGTATCACGGTAGAGTACCTGCAGGTTTAATGTACTACAGGAATTTAAACTCAGTAGACGTACAGAGTCTTTATCTGCAATCATGTGTCAGATAATTATTTTCTTAGCACTGTTTATTATGCAATCATGGATGTATTTTAATGCTAGAGAACTTGTATTTTGTAAGTTCAAATCATACAAGAGAACAGTAAAAATGCTAACATTTGATTATTTTGGAAATTACAAAAAAATATTGTTTTTTAAGTTACCACTGTTTCCTATCACCAGCATTTGATCACTTGCTTGCAACTGCCAGTGTCTCTACATACTTTTAGCATGTTTGAGACCACTGGTTTGTAGCTTTTTGTCTCCTTTCCTTTAAATTTTTTTTATTATTATTATATTTTTTTTTTTTTAGCCAACAGTATATTTCTAAGAAGTTAAAAAATTCATTCTGGGCATTTTTGTAAAAGCTACTTTGTGTGCGCATTTGTATTAGTCTGCTTTGTTGACTTAATAGCTGCTGATTTGTTTTAAGGATGCATACAAGAACTGTATTTCCAAAAGCAGAAAGACAGCAAAAGTTTTATATATAAGGTTATAAAATGTGTGATGATATTAATTGTCCCTCTACAACAGGCTTTTGTTAAGATTTCTTTGCACCTGGCTGGAGATGCTGCTGATAGGATGAAGCTGCTAATGCCTGTCTATTTTCTAAATGAAGAAGTAAAGTTTTTACCTGGGTGTGATGCAGTGCCAAGAGAATTCCATGGGAATTTTTCCCATGGATGCAGCAGTCACTGGCTTTAGTCTCAATTTTCACAGTGGAAGCTGGCTAACTAATGTTGCGTTATTTCTTGGGCCAATGCTCTTGTATTGGGTGACTTCAGACATAACAATGTCAGCCCTGCTCCCTTCCATGGACACGATGTGTGCTTCAGTGCAAGGGAATGTCACCAACCTGTTATCTGTCTTAAACATGACGCTGCACGTGTTTCATATCCCATTGTTCACTGACCTAATTTGAGTGCACACATTTGCCTTGCAGAGGCACTGCAGCAGGTTTTTACCATTGTTGGTGTGATGCTTTCTCCCTGCAGCTATAGGATGGCCCCAGGGCTGAGAGGAAGGAGAAGCAGCTGGGTAGTCTCCCTTCTGGGTGTATCATGGAGGAGTTGAAGTGTGGGGTATTAGAGGACACCAGAGCAGCCTGATGTTTTGTTGAAAGGTAAGACAGACATCACTGGGAACGTTTGAAGTAACAAGGAAACAACCTGCTTTTGCGGAAAGGGATATGGATGCGGGACACAGATCTAGAAGTCTGAAGGTGAAAATAACACATTTGCAGAATTCTTACTGAAAATCTGTTTTTCTAATGCATTGGTTTGGATTCAACTAAGCATCACTATGTCAAGAAGCAACAACCATTCCTCTGGATTTGCAACTGCTTCTGTGCAGCTGTTGCATAGGGGGGGGAATTCCTGGTCAGTGACAAAATGCAAGAACTGCAGACTTTTCTGGGAAGCTGAAAAACAGCCACTGCACTCTTGCTAGTCATGGTACTGTTCAGAAGTTACCATAATTTATTTCGTATGCTTATAACACTTGAGTCATTACTGAGATTTTAATGAGGTTAAGTGCTCATTCTTTGCTTTTTAATTCTTACATTGTCATTTGGTTAATAAGCCCCTACTCTTGAATAGGAAGAAATATGGCACATTTGCTTTTTATTTTGTGGGTGATTTTTTGAGGAAAGTTTTTCAATTATTACAAAGAAGTTTGCACATTACATTTTTAAGGCAGTGGAGAACTTTTCATGTTTGATAGGAACTTCCTCTGTATAACCCCTATCTATTTGGCTTGGGTTATTAATGGAATAAATGCTGCTCAAAGGAGAAGTGGAAAAGTCTGCTTTAAATGTCTTTTTCAAATGTCTCCCTTCTAACATAGGGTTTTTTTCATTGACTGGAGATTAGGATACTTGGTTAGCCAACAATGAAATATTTACTCAGTTGTTGCTCTGTCACAGAACTTACTGAGTTTAAAATCTAACCATCCCTGCATTTTTAGGGATACAATCAAATGTTTCACTCAGCTTCAAGACCTAGACTGAGTTGATTTGTGTTATGTTTGGGGAGATGTGGGCTATGATGATGACACACTACTTCACATAGTGAGTAAAGCTAAATGTTCAAGGAAACATGCTGTGCTATATGTATAATGAAGGAAGTAACTTTTTTTGTATGTCTCAGTACTTAAGTATTCATGATAGCCCATGCAAAATAAAAAAGTGCCTCTGGTTTTTGGGGGCTGTTACCATTTTGAGAAGGAGAGAAGAAGGCATTGTGAAGCTACAGACAGTGCTTCTGGCAGTTGCTCCATACAGCTATGCTCGTGGCTACTATTAGCAGACCCTGGCTGATCAAAGTACAGGTCTAAATCCAGTATCATGTATTTTCTCAAAAAATAGTTTTCCTTTGGAAAAATGTGCAAAGTCCTTTCTTTCACAAACCTTTACTTTCTCAAACTTTGGATGGGAGATGCTCCTCAAGCCAAGACAGATGATCTAGTGAGAATGGGAGAGCTCATAAGCAGTTTTCTCAATGTTCAGGGCACTTTCTTGAGCTACAGGAGAGCAATCAGCTTTATGGCCCTTATGTCCCTGACCCAGAACAACAACTAGGACCTACCTTTCCCACCTTACAGCCCTACCAAGGAATGATAGCAGCTTCTCATGCCTGAGGTCTGACTGCCTCATTTCACAGTTTCTGTGGGTATTAATGCAGAGCAGGACATGCCCAGCAATAGAGGATAACTGGGAAGGTAATAGAGATGGTTCTTAGCATCTGAGAGGATGCACAGACCATGAACCTGGTGCCTCTTCCTAAGTCTTCCATTTCATGCAGCTATTCTGGTTTGGACATTAAATATTTTTGGCTGCAGGACAAGCCGAGGCAGAGCAGGTAGGGATCTTCCTCAGTGTAGGTGTGCACTCACGTATGTTTCTTTTGATCATGTGTTTCTTTATGACTCTGTTCATGTTCATATCACCCAGTACCTTTCTATGAAATACTTGTTTCAGTACATGGTAATTCAGTGGTGAAAAAAAAAATAAATGCCCAGCTAAGTATAGTGGCTGGTTGCCTTTGTAGATCAAGCCATTTTTATATGAGCCTTTAAATATAAATAATGACCTCATAATTAAGCAAGGCGTGAACACTTTCCATTTCAGAGACATTCCTTTAAACAAACTGCCTGTGAACACACATTAATCCTTCATGATCATTGTCCTCCTAGTTATTAAATATATGCTAGGATGCAAGGGAAACACGACCACCTCTTTCCAGGCAGTTCTCAGTTCTCTCTTCCATGAAGTTTTGCTGACATAGCAAAAATGGCAGTGATTAGTGGATTCAGCCCTGTTATTGGAAAGTTGGTGAATATCCTGTTTAACTCAAAAGGTTATCTCTAAACTGTCTTCATGTGCATGGCAGTAGTTTTGCAGCTGGGAATTCTGTATCCATGTTGGAGAGAGGAGCTTGTTTGGCTATCATTGACTGTCCCAGATTGATACTGCCAGGGCTAACCAGTGCAGAGTGGTGATGACTTGCATGGTAAAATGACCCCAAAAGGATATTTGGGGTTTGGAACTCTTCACAGGAAGCATTTAGGATGGGCATATGATAAGAAAATTGCTTTTTTTGTGGTGTATAAGCTGCTTTCCTCCCAGCTGAGCTTCCAGATCAGGTGAAAGAAGCCTGTAAAAGTTGCTAGTGAGGGAATGAGAAGTGTCCATTTTCGAGTACCATCAGCCTTTGGCCTTCACTACACATGGTCCTTGACAAGACAATATACAAAGTTATAAAAGAAAGAAGAGAGGCCCTTATGAAGCCACATATTTTATTGACTAAGGAGTAAAAGTATTTTTTCAGGAAAAAAACCAAAACTTAAGTGCTGTAGTACCTTTAAGAAGAGATGATGTATTTTGAAGCTTTTTTCATTTGTCTCTATGATAGCGCACTATGAACATAGGCATTATGTTTTACTCTGTTGCTGATTTTTTTATATAAAAGAATCACATTGCAAGCCAGTATCATTGTTAATCTAAAAAAAATACCCTGAGGCTATTATATCTTTGAATTTTAACTTATAAAGTAGATAGCCAGATTTAAGCAATTTGTTTTCACAGCTGCAGACTGTCCACGTGGTGAGCTGCAAAATGTATAGAGTTCTATACTGTGCCCATCTAATTTTGGAAAAAGTATGTGATATAGAGCTGGGTGCTACATTGAAATAAAAGCGTCCAATAACTTCAAATTGCCTTGCTTTTGTGGTTTATTTAGGATGTCAATTGTGCAGATCTGCCAGGAGAGCAGAAACTGTGACTCGCTGTGGAAAAAATACGATGTTGAAATGGCTGACCTTCAACTGTGAAAGATGAAATCACTTACGTTGGGATTGTGTGTATGCGAGAGAGACAGAAGCTTATTTAAAGTGAAATCATGTTTCCTTAGGCTTCAGTTCAGTCCAAACTTCACCTTTACTTTGTCAGGCCCCACTTTGTAAAGAGTTCAGA